AGATGAGGGCTTACACTTTGATGAACAGAATTCTCATTATGTGTATCTCTGCCTTAAAGACACAGTTCGTCTCAAGATGAGATTTAGCGACTCCATCCTCATACAGCTGGATCACAGTCATCATAACCAATGCATGCTTATCCCTAGCTTCCTCCAGCTTCCCAAACCCTGTGTAGCTCAGCACTACCAAGGATAAGCCCACTGGTTTTCCACTCCTCTCTCTTGCCTTCACCAAAAATAAAGTACCCATTTCCAGCAGAATCTTGCTACAGTCGGGAGCCAGCTTTGTTCAGCTACTGTGCCCAAGGCCACCTCTTCATCAGCCAGCCTCAGAAGTATCTTTGAAGGCTGGTTTATTGGCTGCCTATGAGAAGATTGAGGCAGAACACTTTTTTCTTTTGCTTTGTATTTTGTTTTAAAGAACTCTCTCAGTGATGCTCAGAGATGCCTACTCATCTATGCAATATTCTCTATTGGAGGGAAAACTATTACAGTTCAGTATACTGTAGAGAAACACCAGTTATTTGCAACTTGTGCTACTGTACTTCCCAAACCCATGCAACAAATACATGTACATACAGCACACCTTTATTTGGAAATGAAGCCTAATATTACACTTTTCCCAGATGCTGGGGTTTTGTCACCCATTTTAGTGCAACCAAGGTGCACAGTATAGCTGTCCTGTCTCACCTCTGATTTTCCTAGGTAACTCTGAAAACTGTTTTCCCTGGCACTGCCTCAACACACATCTGAATTTAAAACAAGCTTCTCTGTGCCCTTCTTCAGGGAAGGGACAGGGTGAAATGAATGAGGGGTGATAACAATAGCTGTCCTGCAGCACTCAGCAGGGTGACACAAACAAAATCAGCAGCCCACTTCATCTCTGAAAAGAAAAGGCACATTCCTGTGGCAGAGCACCTTATAAGCACTCTCCTGTAAGGATATCTCCTATCTGTGGACAATAAAGGGACACAGCTTGAATAACAGAACTATTACAAAGCTGATTGCATGGTGTGAGCTCTCTAGCTGTGCAATACTAAGCAGGATTAAGCCACAGGAGGAGCTGCAGCAACATGCTAAAAGTGATATGGACTGCTTAGGCAAGCCTTGATATAGTTGCATGGTCCATATAGGAAGTAGAAGCAGCCATGTGCCTCACACCCTTGCCCTAAAATTCCTTATTTGCTATAACCCCCACATGGTCCAAAAATACTCTTGCTGTTTGTACTGGGACACTGGTGAAAAGGTACACTTCTGCTACTTTTGCCAGTAACTGAGTGATCCCACAAACTTCCTTGGTCCCTAGTGAGCGATCATTAATCACTGTGTATTTTCTAAGTACAGTTTAGAGTTTTAATAAATGCCAAATAAAGAATTAACAAGGTCATAATCAAGAAAATGTGTTCCTTGATTTGAGATCACTGCAGCAGGATGCCTCAGAGCCAGATAAACAGGGTGCTGTAGTTCACACCCTTTTCTGTGTTCTTGTATGTTCCTCCACTTGTTGCTTGTAAAGAGAAAGGCAGACTCAATTTCAGATCTGTGTTTTTGAAGAAATCTGACTTCTCATTGTTCCCCCAGAGGGAGAAGAGAAATGAGGGGAGAGGGATTACTGATCCAAATTAAAAAGGTGTGTGCAAGACCCTCATCTCACCCACTATTGTGGGTGTCAGCAAGAGACCCCATTGTGGAAGGAAGCCACAGGAGGGAGGTGGTTAGAGTAAAGACACAAAGCACACACCTTTTTCCAAACTCAAATGAAATCAGTCCCTTCTCCATCTCAACTTGCAAGTAGCTCCTCCTTGCCCAGTCACCTCCTGCTTGCTGCAGCTTGAACCTGGTCCCTGCTTTCCAAGGAGAGGTCAGTACAGCAAATCAGTACTAACTTGTTGCCTTTCCTGTCTCTCCCACCATGGCTATAGTTTATGGACAATCAGGCTGTGGACAGAAATAGAGCACAGTTGCAACAACCTAGTACAAGTGCACAGTGAAAAACCCTAAGAAATGTACTATTTAACTTGAGATAAAACATAACCACCACACATGCCGAGTGGAAGAAGGTAATGACAATAATACTACTCAATCACAACAGCTGGCTGCTTCATTGGCTGATGGCATTATAAAAGCAAGCTAGGAAAAAAAAACATGAAGCTGAGCTGAAACCGTCTGGACCCAGTTAGGCAACAGCAGCTGGCTAGGGGCTATGAAGCACGGTTTGAAGGGGAATAATGCAATCACTGGTTTCTTTCCTGATGGCAACTCTCTAAAGCACTCTACTCCCTCCTCCCAGCAGGAATCAATGCCAGGCTATCATACCCAAAGCAAAGTGCAGCTGAAGAAGCACTCTTTTGCTATGCAACCTACACCTTGCCTGGGAAATAAGACAATAATGTCTGGATATATCAAATCAATGGGAGAAGCAAGAGGATGACACAAAATGCCATAGCAGAGGCAGTCGCCACCCAGACAGTGCCCAAGAAGCATCCTCAGCATAATGATGGGACTTCACAGCTTTAAGTATGTACAGTCTGCCAGATCTTCAGTGATCCTGAAACTTAATGATCTTCCTCCTCACTGTGGATTCACTGATACCAATGCAGCTGAGTGTATACAAGCCTGGCCAGAGATGAGCTGGATTTGTCAGTGCCTGATTCCTTTGCTGAGTTTTGACACAGTATCAGGTGAGTCACTTAAACTGGATTCTCCCTAATGCTGGGTTTTTTCACCCTTCATGATATGACCTGACACCCTCAGGCCTGACATATGCAAGTGTCACAGTCAAAGCCAGTGCACTGATCCACGGACAATGTGCTGTCAGCTAGGTGTTTATAGCAGTCATGTATTTGCCACACTGAATTCATGGAGATCTGTGATTTCTCCAGCCGGACTCTGATTCCCTCCCTACATGTCAGCCTGCCCAATCATTAGTTCCAGGCTTACCAGAGTTCCATGGAATCTTGATCCCCCTCTCCATTTTTTACCTTCTTCACCTGCCCCACCCCAGCCTATCTACACCCTCCTTAAGGGGAGCTTTGGCATCAAAGCAATGTTACATACCTGACTGTGTATTCAGTTGCACAAACTTCCTTTGTTTACTGTTCAAAATCTTATCAGCTGATGTGCATGTCCATTCAGAAATTACTTAGTCCAGCCCCACAATTAGTTGCAGTAGAAAATGGAGAAAAATCTTTAGAAGTGTAAAATTCCATTAGCATTTTTTAAACAAAACTGTTTGCTTCAGAAAATTTGATTGTCAACCTAAAAGAATTTCCTTTCCAAAATAAAATGTTGCCAGAAAGAAAAACAAATGTTTTGGGTCAGACTGCAAGAGCTTCATATACAGGGAGCTGCTTATGAAACAAAAATTCCACCAACATTGTTCTGATGAAATGCACCTTTTCAAGTTATACAGGTGTAACATTTTTTTCAGATGCATGGGTAGAGATCTTATTTTTTTTAATATGATCTAATGTGTGAAAAGCTGCAGCTATTTATTATTCCGCCCATTTTTTGAGGAAAAGAACATATTCCCTTCCTGAGTGGAGGGCAGAAAGAGGTAGTGAGAGAGAAAATCCTGGGACAGCATTGCACTATTCACCATCACTCACAGTACTGCAGCATCTTTCTGTCCCATCCAGACTGTCAGCTGCAGAACTCGCCAAGCACATGGATGTGGCACTTCCACATCAACACCGTCATTAGGTAAGGACAGCAGAGGCCACCCCTCTCAGCACAGCTCCACAGCAGTTGGCAGAGCCATTTCAATTTGGCCCCCCAGCCCAATGTTTGGGGGAACATGACTACAAAGACAGACCTCCACCTCCAGGGGCTTTCTGCCCCTTTCTAAGAAGTTAATAAATGGGCTGATAAAGTTAATAAAATATTTGTGCATCTAGTGCTACCAGTTCTCCCCGATTGCCTTTGGTGTGCAATTCACAAATATTTATCCACTTTTCTTATTGGGCAGATGTGTTACCACCAACTTGGTGGCACCATTTTGGTCAGCCATTTTATTTAGGAAAAATGTTCATTGTTTTATTAAGGGGTCATTAATTTCTCTGGAAATACAGTTTTCTACATGAGATACTCCCTTGTGTGATTCAATAACATGGAAATAAACACTCCAGTTGTCCAGAGACAAACTGCCTCCTTGAAATTACCTTCCCCGCAACATTTCATTAAAGCAGTTGATAGTTTAATACTAAACCAATTAAAAGCAATATACAGCTACATGAATAGGATATTAATTTCCTCACCACAAGTGAAAAGGAGTGGGTGCTTTGATTCCCACAGGGAAGGCAACACCAACCAGCAGCATAATCTACAAAGGCTGAAGCACCAAATGAGGGATTCACTGTGCACAACCGGATCGTTATGCTGTGCGGATATTAATGTTACAGCCAAAGCCTCATCCACTCTGCAGTAGCCCCAGGTTACACTAAGAAAGTAAAGCAAGGTGATCTTCTTACAAAAAAAAGAAAAAAACAAACCACTCCACACTTCTCTCCTTGTAGCTTATGAGATCGGTATGAATGCGAACAGTCCTGTGCCAAAATCTCTCTCTTAAATTGTCATTCCAAATCAACTCTGACTACAAAAGAAGTGCTTCCACTGAACTGATCTCTTCAAACCCCTATTTCCTATTGCAGCCAATAGTGAAAAAGAACATTTCATCCACTTTCAGCAACTTTTTTTATTGAGGATTAGCCACAAGAACGTGAGACAACAATATAAGCTATATCTCTGTGCATTAGGACAGCACACGATATCCTAACGTAGGTATAGGTGTAGAAGCAAATTCAGCTGAAATCAGCTGAAAATAGTTCCTGCAGTCTTAAATAAAAGTGGACTACCTGTGGATGCAAGCTAGCAGGACAGAAGCCATGTCCTGTCCACCACTTGTACCCCTGGTGTAGTGGCCCAGCCAAGAAGAGAAGGATGGAGCAAAGCCATTGGCACATCACCCCTCCAGCTGATACACTAATAAATACTTCCACACATCAAGAAATAAACCTACCTTAATTAGCATGAGAAACAGATCTACAACAGATAAAGCACAAGGAACAGCACAAAACGCAGGGTAACAAAGTGGAAGCAATAATGCTGATGGGAAATTTTGCCAGAGTTTTGCAAGTTTAATTGGTCCTTTAAATGCTGCACATCCCAGGCAGCCAAGACTCCTGTTTAGAGTGTTGTATATCAAAATTGAGCAGGACACCCAAAGAGAGACTTTAATTTATTTTTAAGTTGCAATCACCTAACCCTTATAGAACAATTTGTCATATGTCACTAAATAAATAACACTTCAGGGCACTTAGATATCTTAAAACCACAGCAGCAGCTTTCCCAGGTGTTCCTAGATCTCTGCATGCTATTATAGTGGTCTTCAAAAGGTCCAAGGCTTCCCAATGAGGTTTTGTGTAATTTTTATATCCGTATAATATGAAATATTATCAACACACATTGTCAACTTCAATATGACAATTTACTGTAGCATTAGATGTTCCACCCAAGCAAGAGCAGACCACATGAGGAGTTCAGGAGATCTGTCACGGGAAAGTGAGATAAATTCAACCCAGCTGAGGATTTCCAAGCTTTCCCAACCCCTTCATGTCCCCCGGAGCTGTTTTCCCAGTGGTAGCAGTACCTTTGTTCCTCATGGACTAAATACTAACTTCAATTTTTTGCCTTCAAATGCCTAGAATGATTACCCTCCTCCCGGTGAAAGCTCACCACTGCAGAGTGAAAGGAAGGGCAAAATGCCTTTCATTTCATCTGTAAAAGTAAAAAGCTTCTCCTTTGGCTTCTGAGAGGTTCCCTATCTTCATAGGTCTACTGGCTATTTGTTTCAATATCCAGTCAAGTAAAAGAGATCATTTATATCTCTCAGAAGGCAGCTTAACATTTTCATCACAAACATACCGGCTATTTTCTGTTTTCAAATTGTCCAGCAACATACCACAATCTCTGCAGTGTAAGGTAGTCACTGTAGCCTCTGTGGAGAATTTTTATCAGCCAAATGTATCCCGTAAGATCTGAGCATCTTCAGATAAAAGCATTTTGGTTTACAGGATACTCAAACAATATGTTTTTGTTCTCTGACTATGCATGTAATTCCTGGCTTTCCTTGCAAGCCCTGCTGTGGATCTGAAAAAAATAAATCTATCATCATCTGCAATATTTGCTGTATTTTTCAATTTCCATGAATACAGTTGCCAACAAACCACTTTATAAAAATATTTGCATAAACAAGACACAGACTAAGTGTGAGCACAGACATATAGAAGTTCCTTAAAAATGTGAATGAATATTCATCCCATTCTCTTGTAGTTTTCAGGCTCCTATCAGTTTAGCATTATTGTAAGTACTATTCTGAAAGCAGCTTGCTGGTTAGAGATGGGTATTGATTCAAACTAGTGCACTTTCACACTGTCATCTTGTCATATTAGCTGGTGAAGTCTCACTTATCACCATGCAGGGAAGAAATGAGAGAAAATCCAAAGTAGATAGAAGCATCCTAAAAGGGTTTATCAGTGGGGCTTTAACCTAATTTCTTCCCCCAGCATACACACAGATTTTGTAGGTTAACTTTCCCTGTAAGTTTCCAATCCATAGAGCAGATCCAATCCTATGAAAAGTCAACATCTAACCATATCAGCATAGAAGCCTCTGGAACTACCAAGTGCTTTTTAGCTCCCTCTACCATCCTGTGATAGTTCATGTTGTCACCCATCTGCCTGCCATTGAAAATACATTTCTCACATCATCTCATCCATGTGCCTGCCATCATCGTTTCTCACAACAGATCTGTGAGAACAGGGTCTTGCTCAACTATCTTAATTAATGAAAAGCTAGTAGTTTGATTGCAGGTTGGTAATTGCTCTAGCCCTGCCATAAATGCCATTAAAATCATTTTTACAGAGCTCTTCTAATAACTAGCTTTTGTTGTAGCGCAACTGCTTTTAAATATTGTGAGGTTAATGTGTAATACATGACTGTTCCAGTTCAAAGCTCTCAGCACTCAGAAGATATAGATCAGGTTTCAAGTTGTTAATTTGTTATGGTAATCAATACTTTATTCTTTTTAACCACAGAGGCAAACTCATTTACTCTTTTCGGTTTGATATTGGATTATGAATGATTTACATCCAGTACTGTAAATGCCACGTGACAATTAGCAGCATCAGCTAGGAATTTATAACTTGCTTTTCAGTGGGGTTTCAACAGAACTTGTCTGCAAGGCACCAGGTGACAGAGGTGGGGCACGAGCAGTATTTGATGGTTTGGGACCATTGTTCAAAGACAATTCCATGATTATATAGTCATAAAGATCCACATTTATTAAAAAATAAATAAATAAAACTGATTTTTATCAGTCAGTCATTTACATTTCACCAGCTAGCATCCATTCCATGCATACTCCAAGAGCAACAAGCAGCTGCTTGGAGTTTGGCAGCCGTATTACAAATATCAACAACTTTCAGCTGTGCGGGAACACAAGTAAATCTGATAAACATGGCTGCTAAATAGATTTGTGTCAGCTACAAACAGGCTTTTCAGAGTATAATTTCTTGAAGCATTTCCTGAGTGTTATCCTAGGTTACAAATTATATATAATCCAAAATGTAATCCAGAAGGAAAAAAGGATCTGGAAATTTCAGCATTCTTCCCCCTGTGGCTGTAACATGGGCTCACATCACCTCATAGGTCCTCCTTAGGCCACCAGATTGATGCTTTTCACATCTGAAGAGCACTCTGAAGACAGACATGGAGCCCCATGAATATAGATTTGTTTACAGGATTGGTTTTTGATGATATTTCAGGTGTATTAATTTTTTAATATTTTAAAAGGTTAAAATGACATTCCCTCCTTCAATTATTTCCTTGAGTTTCTTAATCATTCCTTGGAAGCTTAATTCCTTCTTGTGGTTCCACTTTCATATGTAGTTTCTGATTGTTTTTTATTTCCTCAGCACCGCAGGTTTCCCCACCCATTCTTTTAAATTACAGTTTATTAGCAAGTTCTGTGGTCACACTTCAATATTTCATCTGGGTGACACAAAACCAAAGTGGCTTAGTTTACAGGGCATGAAATTTTGATGAGTCTTAGTTAATTTTGCATGAAGATCAAGAAGCCAGGGCAGCAAAAGTCATTCATGGGAAGTGCTTTCTCTGTGGAAGAACACTTGTAAGATGAAGTTGTTCCTTGATTGAAACTCTTTCTAATTACATTAAGCATATTCTCCCTCTAAGCTCTCACCATTACTAAGCTTATTATTTCATTTCCTGAGGCCCATGCACTTTCTGACTGATGGATCCCACATGAAAATATAATGGCTATATCTAACTCCAGCATATTTCAGCCTGATGTCTTTAACTAGACCATAGATATTGAAACATATGAACCTTTTATTTTGCTAATAGCCAAAAGAGAGTGCTTTGGCATAAGATCACTCAGTACTTGTCTAACGTAAATGGCCCTCATAAAGCACTGGTTCAGTCATTTATTTTAAAAAATCTCATTGCTGTTTTGTTTGTGATAAAAGTGCACTCAGAAAATTTCCAGAGCAAGTTGACATACACCAAAATGTGGAAAGCATTTGTGAGAGTTCAGTCAGCCTACTCTTGGAAGATGAAAAAACCTCAGGGGAGCAGATTTTGCCTTATGCCTTAAGAGTGAGATCTGAGCTCTGTCAGAGCACAGCAAGAACTCCCTACAGTAAGAGCTACATAGCACTGGCACTTCAAACACTGAATAACAGCCTTCAAATGTGAGCTGAAACATCCCTTATTTAATCTATTAAACTGGGAAAAAGGGAGGGAGGCCTCCTCTACAAGCTTCAATACTCTAATCATGTTCAGCATCAAATCACTACATTATGTTTTAAAGTTATCTGGAAGGTAGGTCTCTCTAAGCAAAAAGTTCTTACCTGACTCTTATCACTGACCAGAGCTAGCTGGATTTAAAGAAATATGATTCATAAATGTATTTGCACACTTAGCCCTTGAGTTCAGCTAGCTACTATTTCTAGGTCTCAATAAACAAGAGCCTTCTCAAATTCAATAGAAATTCAAAGCCCTTTGCAGTCTACTCCTTCCCTACCATCTCCACATCAGTAGCTGTATCTTACTACCACCCAGCCCAAGATACTAGTTTTATTTTCCACTTAGATTTTCAAGTAATCACCTTCTATGATTTCTGTTGCTGCTAGGAAAAAAGACAACAAAAGGCATCCCTTATATGACTCCCTGAAGCACAGTCTTGCCTGATGTTTACAAAATATGTCAATAGCTAATCTCTTTGTGTGCCAAGGTCACTGCTTCAGGCTGAGGTACTTTGCCTCCCTGTTTTTCTGGGCTCCTCAATATGCTATCAACATCAGTTTTCTCCCATCTTAGCCTTGGATTGTAAACTTCTTTCAACTGCTCCTTCTTACAAGTTTGTGCAATGCCTAGTAGAGTAGGTGTTGGCCTATTACTGTCAAGAGCAGTGTCACCAATTGAAATTCTAGGGTTTTCACAGGCTTTGCTACAAATTAATATTTAACAAAAAGTTCATACAGATAATTCAGTGCTCACAACAGAAAAACTATGCTTTGGAAAAGGAGCAAACACACCATGCCAGCCTTATCCTGAAGGGCAGACTTTCAGATTACATAGAATAGCATAACACTGGTGTCTGTAGAATTATGATGATTGATACCAAAGACTCATCTGGCAGTCTTTGAGTAAAGCTTACAGATGCATAGGTCTTTTTAATAAGGATTTATTGAGCTCAATATGTTGTTAATAATTTTCGAAAGACTTCCATTTCACAGCTTTTAAACCAGCAAGATCTTGGTAATCCCATGAGGGAAATAAAATGTTGTCATATGACTTAGACACCCTGTGCAATTTTTCAAAATGAAGTTTTCCTAAACAACCTCACAAGTCAAAGTTTTTACCCCAACTAATCCATGAGGAAATGCGCATGACAAATCTGTTCTGAACCAATTCAAGCAGTACTCACATGAGTCTACCACCCGCATCCCACTTAGTCAAATCTTCTAAGCTTTCTTCAGCTGAAAGTAATGTATAGCTAAATCAGAAAACACAGCCTAGCAAAACAACCCACAAAAGAACAGTTCTGAGTCCAGGTATCAAAAGGGAGAACTATAACTACCTCTGACAGTCCCACAAAGAAAGAAGGGCTCCAAACCATATCTACAGAAAGGCCAATAATCTTCCACCTTTTCCACATCCCTTACTGCTTCTAGGAATCTATCAACATCCCTAATGATTCGATGAATAACTTCTCATTGCAAAATGCCGTACAGAACCACCCCAAGATCAGGAAAGGTATGAAATACACCTGCCAGCCAGAGCACCGAGAACTTTGCCTTCTCAAACAGCCTTCAAATAAATGGGAATACCAATAAAAAATCCAGGTAAAAAAAAAATAACAAAACAAACAAACAAAAAAAAAAAGAAGGAAAACAAGCAAAAAAAAAAAAAAGAAACAAACCACTGCACATTTTCTTCAGATTATTTTTTGAGAGGTTCCAAGAAAACCATGGAGTAATCAAAGCACAGAAATATCTACACCAGAAGAGCCACTGGGAACCCAGTATGGATTTGCAGTCCATCATATTTAATGCTGTTGAGTGATCCAAACCAATTAGTATTGATTTTTCTATATATTTGTCCCTTGCCAAGATGTAATCACTTATTAATAATACCAGAACTTCTATTCTAAGAAGAATTTTGCCTCCAAATTGTAGTTAATTTTTTTATTTTTCGTATTTGTCTCTTTTTTAACGTGAATTTCAGAGTCAAAGTTCTGAGAGCACATGTGTACTAAAACTTGCTTAGTAGGCTCTGCAGCAAGGAATTATATCCATACCTACCTAATCAGATAATCTGTTTCTCTGCCTTTTCCCATCGCGACTTCATTAGCCAATGTGTTAAGATAACTTCTGACAAATAAGTAATGGTTAATTTTTACAGAGTGGTCTGCATACCACATCAGACTGTTTCTACCAACATTCATTTTTTGACCTCTCAGGAGCATACTATTTTTCAGCACCCTTCCTCATGCAACACTATAAAAAAATAGTCATTTATTAAGAAAAAACAATTATTGCAGAGAACTTGCAAGGTCTTATAACAGTAAGGCAAAATGCAAAGCTTGTGCATTGAAATCAGCTGTCAGCTCAGCATTTAGTGAAAATGTTAGGAGACAGAGCCAAGGATGAATTTGAAAGCATAATCTCATATATATCATGATGAATCATACCTTGAAACTTCTTACCTTAACTAGCCTGGAAGGGTGAGTTGTAAGAAAGATGTCTCTCCCATTTTGGAAAGTAACTACATAGCATGTGGCAGATTTATGTGCTGAAAGAGCTGAAATTTACTAGCAGACTTTAAAGATGGTATGAATATATATTAATTGGCAAAGATACAGTAGAATCATTGGTAAATTTCTATTTATAAAAATAGGGATAGAGACATAATGTATTAGGAAGCCATGTAGGCATAGGCAAGAACAAGATAAAAGCTCTACTGGTGATCAGGATTTCTGGTTTAAGTACAGAACTATTTTTGCTTCTTAGAAGGTCCAGAGTGAAATCCTAAAGATACTTTTTTAGCCATAAATGTCAGTAATGCTAGGATAACACTGTAAAAGTACTAGGATCCAGCATCATCATAAAGCATAAAACTTACCTGCAAGCTTCAAATGGCATCAAAGTGCATATATATATATATATATATATATATATGAATGGACCACTTTAGGTTTGAATAAAATATATCCCCTAAAATTAACATTGCCAGAGAGAGGTAATTGTTCCATGTCCCATACCCCTTGCCTGTGGGTTATACCTAGTATTCATAAGAGGTTAGCAAACAAAAAAGCTTTTCCCAAAAATGCCTTGATGACAAGCCTTATGACAAATGTTACACTTTAGACGCACAGGCTCAGTGCTACTGAGGAAGAAGTTAGTATGAAAGATAAGCACTGCAAAGATTCTTGACATATCTTAAATGCCGAGTAGATTAAGCTAAAAGGTAGAAAAACTAAATGAAAACAGAGGGCAGATGAGGGTTAGAAGTTTTTGAAAATTATTTGTCCTCTCACCTGTGTTCAGCAGCAGAGAGAACTTCACCTGCAGTGTAAAGGGGAAGGGACACAAGAAGCCCCAGCTGAGGTGCTGCTCTGAAAAAGGGCTCTGGGACAGAAATGTTTCTTCGGCTTCCACAAAGAAATCCTGTGAGACAGACGGAGCAATCTGTAGCTGTGAAGCATATTTGAAGTTCATATTTATTTATTTTTCATATTTCTGTACTTTAACTTTGTTGCCAGTAAATAATAAAGAACTTAGCCCTTTGCTTCACTGATTTTTCTCTGAAAGCATGTCTGGTGCTCAAAGTGACACTGATCATTTACAAAAAAAAAACAAAAAATGGGATGTCTTTATTCTGTGGAAATAACACACCTAAGCAAAGCAGTCTTCCAGATAACTAGGAGCCAAGACAACTTTGGGACTTCCAGGAGCTGGTCTGTTTCCAACAACCTTCCCTTGTGAGCTGATATTGTGAAACAGCAGGATGGAAGGAATGATCTCCCTGGGGTTCTTATCCTGACCCCCTCCTTGCAAGGAAGTGGCAAAAAGACAAGGCATGCTTTCAAGAAATTGGTATCATTGATGAGTGTTATAAGTATCTCCTGGTATTTTTGTGAGTGATAGGCATCCTGTCCTTATCATATCTTAGTCCATATGTTGCCTTTTCAAATCTTCTTAACTTCATGTCAACAAGCTCATTAACAATTTGGTGCCAAGCCTAAGTAATTTCAATGATGAAATTACATTCTTTAGATAATGAAATAGCCAGCAAGCAATTGCTCTGTGCATCTCAGGTTAGTGCTGCCAGATGCTCCTATCAGTCTCCTTTACTTTGGATAGACCTGCAAGAGTCTGTACCCCACCTCTGCTTTCTTACCCCTTTACGAGCAGCTGAACACCACCATAGGATCGGATGGCTCCAGACCTGCAGCTATCTGCAGCACCAGTATGTTCTGTTCCCCACAGCAGTTTAGGAGAACTCAGTGAAGAGGCAGTACCTGTAATAAATAATTTATTTATGAGATACTGAGATAGAAAGCCTTAAAGACTACTCAGCAGAAAAAAGCCAACCACATGGACAGGTGCCTTAAAGGCACTAAGAATTCACCCTGTTAAACACTGAGCGTCTACAACTCACACCCTTCTCTACAAGCTTACCAATCAACAGTTTGCACAATCACATTCTTAATGACTTGGTTGCTCCTGTTAGGTGGGGAAATTGAGGTCCTAGGTACAGCAGAAGTTTGTTGCACAAGGGCAAATACTGACTTACGTGGGAAAATAAAGTTTTTTTCAGTTTGGTTTGGCATGCATATAGGAGCTCTGAGACCTTCAACTCTTACGGACTTCAGCATTAGGTACCTACTGAAAAGTGCAATTCTGCAACCATCATTTTTCTTTTCCCAAAATACACACCAAGTTGCAGGTACAGATAGAATAAAACGGGAAAAACAGGTCCTACTGTAATTTAGAAACTGAACACCTCAAACAATCCTCCCTGTGGGGAGAGAGGATAAGACCAAGAACAAGTTTCCAATAACAAGTGTTAGTTCAGTGTTAGTAAACAGAGTACATTTAACATACTTCTGGAAAACACTCTGTTATTACATCCTGACACCAGGAAATAGGGCTGGGTAGGGTAAGGTAGGATACAATTTACAATAGGATACAATAATATAAGAAAATTTCCTGCTGAGAAAGCAGATAATTATCTCTTCTTCCAAAGTTTTAGATTATTAACATTATCTGAAACTTGGGAAGGTCTATTAGAAAGCCTATTCAAGTTCAAAAAAAATAGGATGAGCAATTTGTCTCAATCACACATATCTGAAAGATCTTTGAGTTCACAGATAAATCTAAGGTCATGTTCACGTAAGAATATTAATTACACAGCGCATCAAACATGATAAAACTATCTTCAAAATAGTGAGGGTCTTAGTTCAATATTAAGGGTTCAATTTACAGTTTTCACAACTGAAAGATAACTATGAGGTTTAAATAAGAATACCAATATAATATTAAGAGTTCCTAATTAGAGAGAGCTATTTTAAAAAACTGATTAACAATTGTTAAATGAACTGTTAAATTAACTAATAAAATTACAAAACTTAGCATAACTTTGGGATTTCTGTTTTCAATGCTTTTTTCCATGGCTAAACCAATTCTTCTACTTTGCCTCATCCTTCTGGGCCACTGCTGGGAAATGTCATTAATGTTTCAGACCCCACTGAGTTGCAATACTGCTGCTTGCTGAATGAAGATAATTGAAACAGGGACAGGTATTTCTAAAAGTGTTTTCGGAATTCCTTAGAGACACATGTACAAATCTGGTAAATATTATTCAGCTTCATACAGAAACTGCTGCAGTATGAGGGAAGATACTGGCACTACTGCTGCTTTTGTTTCTGGAGTATGATGCAATATTTTGTTCTCTTCTGTACCAGGTTTCCAGGGCTTAGTCAAAGGCCAAAGCTTGTCTGGTTTTCACCCTGAAAGACACTCAACCACCTAGAGAAGGAAAGCAATTTATGTAAAAGAATCACAGAGTTATAGAATGGTTTGGGTTGAAAGGGACCTTAAAGATCATCTAGTTCTGCCCCATCACCACCACTACAGGCAGGGATACCTTCCACTTGATCAGGCTGCTCAAACCCCACCCAACCTGGCCTTGAACGCTGCCAGAAATAGGAAACAAGTTGCTAGAAACACTTCTAAAAACAGGAAATAGCCACAGCTTCTCTGGGCAACCTGTTCCAGTGCCTCCCCACCCTCACTGTAAAGATCCTCTTCCTAATATCTAACCTAAATCTAACCTTTTTCAGTTTAAAGCCATTTCCCCTTCTCCTGTCACTACAAGCCCACATAAAATGTCTCTCTCCAGCTTTCCTGCACACCCACTTTAGGCACTGAAAGGCTGCTGTAAGTTCTCCCTGGAGCCTTCTCTTTTCCAGACTGAAGAAGTCCAACTCTCTCAGCCTGTCTTCTTAGGAGAGGTGCTCCAGCCCTATGATCATCTTTGTGGGCTTCCTTAGGTCCACATATATGATTTATTCAGCTGCTCCATCTTTCCAAAGAAAGTGTCCTTGGTTATGCTGATGTGTATGAGCTCTCTGGTGTAACAGATTCTTGGATGATGCTGACACACGAACATCAGAGCAGTTGGCATGTTCAGGTTCACCATCCATTTGCCACTGCAAGTTGATCACACAGCTTCACCTCACCACAGCAAGGGAATACCAACTGCTTCCAAGCAGGCTACCATGTGATTTGAGACCATTTGGAGTGCTTCAGGGACTATTTTCCTATTTTGCAGATATACACCAGCACCCTCAGTCTGTAAAGCGTTATAACCTGCAAATGACTTGCAAAGTATAGGCATGCGTGCACTGCAACTGCGTAGTACAACAAAGCACAGATAACTTTTAATTGACTGAAGTAGATGTTGGCTACAGGAGTGAGAAAGTCTGCACTACACATGGAGGGTCTTAGGAATTGTGCTGCCCAACTGTGTCATGCCAGCACTGGTGAGACATTTGCAGAGAAGGCTTGTCAAAAGGATGGTTTTTTACAACGCAGGTGGTTCCCAAATGACTAACTCCAACACTGGAAACAGCTCAGGCATTGCAGCATAGAGCTGTGAAGCCTGGTTTGTCCTGCTTCACAGCAGCTTCCTGCATAAACAAGCTCTTTCTTTCACACTTCATTTTACTCTTTCCAAATCCCACCGCAATGCAAAGGAGGCTGAGCTCTGGATATTTATTCTTACCAAAACTGTTCTCATTTCTCCTTAGGTATTTCAACTTGAAAATATCCCAGTTGGGTGTAGTGACAGCATCTGAAATGTGATAAGACATCAGAGACATGAAAGAGATCAGCACTTACCCTACTTGGAGGGGATGGAGAGAAGGGGGTTGGGAGTGTTTTTTTATCTCTTTCCTGACATCATGTTGCTGGGTGAAGCTTTATGGGCCTGGGGAGGTCCCAGCTTTCAAGAGCCAGAACCACAGGCTCTGCATGCAGCTTTGGGCTGTTTAAGGCTGGATCACCCCACCAATGGCTCTGGCTGGGGCTGTGCACCCATGAGCAACAGCCAGGGCAGCTTCAGCCTTCTAAAAGCTATGGCCAGCCCCAGCACATGGCATGGAGGTAGAGACTGACAATTGCTCCCAAAACTCCTCCTGACATGGGACTGAAATGCCACCACTTCTCCCAGGCAAGTAACTCAATTTGTAATGAGCCCCTAGTCAAGTGGTGCAGGGTCAAGTGGCTGGAAGGTGTATCAGAGAGGGAAAAGTCTTGAGCTGAGCAATAGAAATGAGCAGATGTTGGATCCTTTAAACTTCATTAGGGATCTTGGGAACATCAAAGTATTGCAGCACTTAATTTGTCCAAAGAAACAACATATAGACTTCAGAAAACACAAAACTACAGAAATGCTTCACTGAATTTCACCTGGATTAAACCCAACGCTGACGTTACTGTGACTAATTCCACTTCTTTCTCCCCTCACCCTTCATACCCTCAAACATGGCTAATTTTAGCAACAAAGTCATGCTTCTTAGTCTCAGCAAGGCTCTCTGAAGTTTTTCTAATGATTACTGTATTCATGCACTGTGTTAGTTAGTCCCAAAGAAAAGCATAGGTCTGCAGGTCTAAATATGATACGACATTATACGCTCCTGGGTTTTCATTTAAAGTGAATAGCTATATCCCACAGTTCAACCACAGTATTAGTTAATTTCATTGCCCTCAGCAGCCTGAAGTTCATTTTACAGCCTGAATGTGTAAAATAACCACACTTAATAGACAGAAGTCAGGATACATTTCTTGGCAACCAATATGACAACAGCATTTCCACAGTGAATTATTTTGGGACTCTTATCCCATCATGGAAACCACATTTTAAAAGAATCACCTTGAAATTAATTATAGCAGTTTTAGTAATGGTATGGAGTTTAGTAAAAAGAGTATAGTCACCTATTGCTTGTGGGTTGGCTGGAAAGAGGCAGTCAAATCTTTGCTCAAAATAAACATGCGTTATCTCCACTTACCTGGCCTTTACTTTGGCTGCCTCAGTGATTTTTAAGCAAAACCGAGAAGTGTCTAGAATGAAAAAAACCTATCAAATTGCAAATTATCATAGGGCTTTCCTATGTCTTTGAAGTGCAGATTCTAAAAAGAGGCCAGCTCCTACAGAGGTAAACTTCACCAAAATTTCAGTTGCAGCATTTTCTGTTAAAAAACTAGCATTGTTTTAAGATTAATATTAAATAAAATATGTTAATTTTGTTTTGTATTCCCATTCAACATTTTAAAATTAAACAAATTTAATTTGTGATTACAAATCATAGTTCATTTTATCTTTTCAGTCCCATATACTTAACCTTGTGATAAGTTGTTCTAGGCAAAAAAGTAAAAATATTAGAATATTATTATACTACATTACAGTAAATCAACATATTACTTCACTTCCACTATTGGAAGATCACAAAGTAATGAAAATTATAAAAAAAAAATACAAGTGAAAGTACAAAAAAGGAAAAAAAAATTTCTGGGCTCTGAAATTAAAATTTTAAAAACTTTGCCCTATCTGAAATTTTTTTGAAAGGTGAAATTTTGAAAAGCCTGGGTTTTGTTCTGTAGCCAAACAAAAATTAATTTAAAAATGTACAAATTGTAGAAGTTGATAACAAGGTGTTTTCCCTAAAAAGCAGCAGCTCCTTCTGCATCTCCAGTACGAGATTCCCAGAGCAGAAGGTTTTGTAGGCTAATAAGAGAAAGGCAATTTTTAATCAAGATCACTTCTCCAACTTAAAGGGACATTCTCAGACTTTCTGGAAGACTTCAGACACTGGCAGATGACAAAAGCAGGGGAACCCGTATTCTCTTTTTCAGTGACAGAATTTGCAAAATGAAGCTGAAATGGCTCCACATCTTATGAAAGGCATTGGCCGCACAGAGAAGTCAAAAAGCTTATTATCTACAGACAAAAGAATCTCAGAGCAGAAATAAAGGGAATAGGCTAGAGATTTCCATAGTGTCCCTAGAGGAAGTGGATCCAAGGGTGTCAAAGAGCATGCAGAACTTTTTGACATACATTTGAATAATGTCTTTGAAATGGAAGAAGGGGAAGACATGAAAAGCGACCCAAGAACTGCATGTCTACATTGATCTTCTCACTGGCTGTGCAGGTGGCACATAATCACCCTAAAACTTTCAAACCTTAGTGTCTGCCATCCGACTCTGAGAAGGCACAAGAATAGCTGTTTTTAATGGCTTCTGACAGGGAACAGAAACTCAGTCACACTCCAAATTGGGCTAGTTACTTGCAGATTTCCCCTCCTACTCCAGTGTAGCTGTAAGTGCTTCAGGCAAGGTGAATCTCCTGCTTTCAGACCTCATCATCAAGGAGCACTACAGAGTCAAAGTTGATTGATCTGAATGAAAAGAGAAGAAACTAAAAATATTGGTGTCTTCCATTTACCAGCTGTGTCCAATGAATGGCACCATATGGGGCAACTTGACCAGAGTAAACCTTGCTCAACAGGAAGGCTTAGGGTAAGATGTCACAAGATGGCTCTTCCCTTGCACATAAAACCAGAAGAAAACATCTTTGGTTTTTTGTTTGGTTGGGGTTTTTTTCACTAAACCAGCATAGGAATCCAAACCAATCCACAAATATCACCAACAGGTCAGATAAGAGTCAGGGCCAGGGCAAATGAAGCAGGAAGGCTGCTTGGTTGAGAAAAGAAAGGACAAAAAATGTCTGATAATTTTTGCCACTTGTAAACTTTTTCTCAGGCTCAAACCTCACCTCTAAGAAGAGCAACACGAAAATAAAGCCTACAGGTATTCCTGACACCCTTGCTTCTGTTTACATACCCCTGCAAAGAAAGGGCTTTATGCACCTTTGTCATATGGGATCAGCTTCTTCAGGGGTAGGGTGGCAACAAGAAGCTACCTGTGGTGCAGGCACCTTGGGGCCCAAGAAAGCCTTTGAACCACCAGACTTTTCCAGCTCCATTCATTCTTGCCAACCATGCTAGCATCAAGCCTGGAAATTAAGGTGTCCTTAGCACAAGGTTAAAGACCGAATTCCACCTGTTTACACACAAGCAAGGGCCAGCCATAACCTGGTCTAATCTGCATAAGTGGTTTATAGGGAGAAAAAAAACCTCTAAAGTACAAGAAAAAAAAGACACAGAAACCAAGTGTGGCCCAAAGTTGTTTTGGTTTAGTTCAAATGACACATACACAGTTTCTGAACCATAGAATTTATGTGCTTTCTTAGTGATTAATATTTAAAAAGATTGTTTGGCACTGGACATTCAGTACATGTCTTGCAAGGACTTGGCACGGAGAAGAGGTAGTAATCAGAAATGTGCCAAAGACTTGTCAAGGAAAAAACTTACACTCAATACTAATCAAGCTCAACTCTGTGCCAGTCCTCCCACTCATCCGTTCATAGGAGAGCTAAGTCTTTCAGCGTGAGTCTGCCCATGCTGCTTCAGAGACAGCCAACACCTTTCACAGTCAGTTGACAAAAATGAAAGTTTGGGAGGCTGAAAAGAGCAAAAAAAAATACAACTCACCTGCTCATCAGCGAGGATCACTGCTGGGAGCAGAGTCCTGCCTCTTCTGCTCAGGGGATTTCCTACAGTAAAGGACTTCATTTGCAAGTCTGTGGTAGCAAGAGATAAATTTCAGCACGCCCCCCACCTGGCATGTTTTGGCCTCCAGTGCCAGTGCCATGGCAGCTTGACAACAGCCACCATCTTTTTCTGTTACAGACAAATTCACACTACAGGCTGTAGCACAGACACTAAACTCATTAGCGTTGTCCCTGTGCGGATGAGAGATGCAGCTGCAAACTCAGCTCTGCCCTCTGCACCTCTTGCATGAGGCGTGCTAAAGGGTTCACCCAGTAAACAGCAGCAGTGCGGGGCAGGGACTCACAGGTGGGTTTTGTCTGGTTTGCTGGGGTAAGATGGTGTGGCCAAGCTGTGTTTTCCTACTCTTTTTAGAAGAAAGCCTTCCACAGGATAACCACAGACACCACCCCCCGGAGTCAAAGTCCTGATGGTGAGAACCAGCTGAGCTTACGCACATCCCTCCTCTTGCCCAGCACTCACCAACTGCACTCATCACCACCTGCAACAGGGGAGAAATCAAGTGGCTGTCTGCTGTAAAAATCTTTCCTCTTCTCTTCCACCTTTCCTCCCAGGGTCTGAGGGTGCGATGCCAATATTAATGAGCATGGCTCACAAAAGCTCTGCAGAGCCCAGCATACTTGTGTTGCTGAATGGAGATGTGGAGGTTAATTAGCTTGCCAGGGGGTGCAGGAAGATCTTGTCAGAGCCATCGGTGCTGTTAGAATTCCTGTCATTTATTTACATAGCAACAACCATTTTCTTTATGGCTCATATCCAGAAATTAAAACAGGGAGGACTGTTCACACAACCTGATTTTTTGCACCTAAATTAGAAGATTAGTTTCCCAAAGTGCCTAAATTAAGTGCTTTGAGTCATCTCTGGAGTAATATCTCTATCTCCAATGACTGTAGTGACACCCTAGAGACACAAGTCTCTCTCTCAATACAGGTGATTATAGTTAGCTGGTGTGTACTCTTTTTTCCTGTACAGTTTATGTAAGCCTGATCTCATTTAGGTTTAAAAATAGGATGCATCAAAGATCACCTGAGAATCAAAACCAATTTACCCAATCTGAAATTGCATGTGCACTTGTGCACTGACTTCAGGAACATGGTCTGAAAATATTTTCAAAGGTATCAAAATGTTTGTTAATGTCACATCCACTATACACACACAGGGTGCATGCCTTTAAACGTCTGCAGGGTCAGAGCCGCATTTGGCTGGGAATCTGAACCAAATCCATTTTTTAAACTTTGCATTTAATAAAATATACATATTTAACACTACATTGAGATAAGAGCTTTTCTGAAAAAAGTAAAAACAAAACAGCACTCGGGTTCTCCCAGAAGATGTGCTTTCCTACCTGCCACAGTTGAATAATATTCCAGAGTTGCATGCATCACTCTTAATGTTACCAAAGATGCTGCTGCATGCACAACGAATGCTGAGAAACTGGGCTACACTGCTTCCTGTGACACTGAGACACAGAAGACAGGCACAACTTGTGTAACCCTGGCAAACAGCGTTAGCAAAAGGAGATTAATCTCCCAGCTTCCAAAGCACATTGCAAACATTACAGGAGAAAATAGATACATTTTGAGGATAGTCATTTTCTTTCTTTTTTTCGTGTTGTAATCCCTTTTCTTTCTCTCTCTAGCCTACATTTCAAACACCAAACAAGTAACACCTCCACATCATTTCTGCAATGTTCATTTCCTGCCAGGGACTCAATGAGAAAAAATGATCATTGTGATCATCAGCCCAAAGTCGAAGATTTTTCCAAACTGACTAGGGCAGGTCTCTCATCCTCCCAGTGCGAGATAACACACGGCTTTACAGCCAGTAGGCACCAAAGGGAGGTGCATAGGAAGGGACTGGTGTAGTGGAGGTGCACACCCTGTTTGCTTTAGAGCAGCACGGCTCAGAAACAATAGAAATCTTCTGGATCTAATCCTCAGGTTGAAAAATATTAAGGTTAAAAAAAAAGAAGAAGGAGCAGCTGACACTTAAAAATTGCAATTGTTCAGGGACATTAGCAGGAAAAGGAAATGTAGCCACTGTTGCTGGCACGTCTGATTTTATCTCTGTCCCCTCTCAGAGTTCACACACATAGTCACAAGTGCTGCAGACCACAGTGACCCTTGCTGCTTCTCTTACTGAAGTCAGCAGTAGGGAAACACCAGTGTACCTCAGAAAACGTTTCAGGATCCCTTGATCCCAGGACCGGCAGGGGTGAGACCAGATTGCTGAGCTCCAGTGGCACCATTTTGCTTTCTCTGTCCCCTGGATGGAGAAAGCATGGTACCATGCTACTACAGAGAAAAGGAGTGCTGGACCCCAGCTTGCAATGCTGTAGCACTTGGTCTCTCTGGTTCCAGCAAGGAAACTTTGCGGGACGCACCATCATATTTAAAATTGTTCCTATTCCCACTGCTACATCATGGGCCAGTGGCTGATGATGAGAAGAAAAGTCCTCTCGTGGTGATGGCTTCAAGTGTAAAACATTACCTCAGAAACAAACCTTTGTTGAAATGTACAAAAACAGGACAGTGCAGAATTAAAAACTTTTCATCACAACTTTAACTTCAGTGTAACTTTCAGCCCTATGAGCTGCATAGTAACTTACCAGTTTTGGATTCTCTTTGTCTTTTTCCTCCTAAATTAAAAGTCTTTGCAAATTATTACTGTTGTTGTTATTAATCACACTTTCTACAGTGGGACCTA